TGTGGGAGATGCCAGGAAGCCTGAAATCTGTTGGGGAAAGCTGCAGGCACGGGGTGGGACTCACCAAAGAAAGAGATGTGTGCCTCAGGCAGTAGAGCTATGGGTAAGGCTAATCACGGCACTGGGGCCCTGACAATGACGCCATGAGGCTGCGATCCTTGACTCGGGGCTGAAGGGGTGTGCCCTGGCGGGTTCTGCTTTTGCTGGTCTTTGTCTCTATTCCTCCTGCTCGGATTGGGAATATGACCACGTTGGCCGATGCCAGCAGGGTTTGACTTTTACAGGGGCTCATAGTTAAATGACTGTCTTGTGTTTCAGAAGGGATTTTGGACTTTTAAGTGTTGAGGCTGTTGAGGCACTATGGAGAGGTTTGAATTTGATGGCTCTGGGGGACAACCATCAGCCAACAGGGACCAGGGTGGAATGTCACTGACTGGAATGTCCTTCTTAGGCCCCCATGTTCGAATATTTGATACCCAGCCGGCAGTGGTGCTGTTTTGGGAAAGTTGTGAAACCCACTGGATACAGGATCTAGCGGGCAGATGTAGGATGGCAGGGGTGAGGCTTGAGGGTTCTGCAGGGGTGAGGCTTGAGGGTCCCAGCTAGACTCTGCTTTGGTCCTGAGCTCTGTGCTTCCTGGTGAGGAGACACGAGGGGCCTGTGCCCCATGTCCCTGCTGTTGTGAGCACCACCTTGTTTTATCCACCATGATGACTGAAGCCCTCTCCAATGAGAAGCCAGAGTAAATCCTCAGGTTGTTACCACTAGGATAAAAGTAACTAATTCAATATCTACCCACTGTCATATCACCTAGATTAACTTCTGTTTAGACAGATAAGGAGAACCTGGCACAAAGAGGTTAAACAGCTTTTTCCTTGCTGCCCAGTAAGACAAACTACGATTCCCCACATTCCAAAACAGAAGACAGGAAGTATGCAAGGAAATGTAAGCCCGAGCAGCTGGGTTTAAAATTCCCCTTGGAGGCAGAGAAGAACAAATTACCACCACAGAGCTTCCACACAATGGCTTTAAGGACGAACACAGCAAGTTCCTCCAGACACAGAAGGAAAAAGATAATAAACAGAGTGGCTACCTCACTGAGACCAAGCATGCCAATTCAGTCACAAGAGAGAGAGAAAACACAGCCAGAGCAAAAACAAACAACAAGAAATGAGGTGGCTTGAATGAGGACAGCCCCCATAGACTCACATGTTTGAATGTTTGGCCCCCAGATGGTAGACTGTTTGGGAAGGATGAAGGGGTGTGGTCTTGTTGGAGGAGGCGTGCTACTGGGTGGGCTCTGGGATCTCAAAAGCCCACATCACTCTCCATTAGCTCTCTCTGTCTCATGTTTCTGGATCATGATATAAGCTCTCAGCTACTGCTCCAGGGCCATGTCTACCTGCCTGCTGCCATGCTCCCCTCCATGATGGTCGTGGACTTAACCGTCTGGAACTGTGAGCTCCTCAATTAGATGCTTTCTTTTATAAGTTGTCTTGGTATTTTGCCAGGGCCGTAGAAAAGTAACTAAGACAAGAAATAATGGTTACAGAGCTGGAGGGATGGATCAGGGTTTAAGAGGACTCACTGGCTGCTGTTCCAGAGACCCGAGTTCAGTTC